ATAATCTTCAAATATTTCACCATTAAAAACAAACAAACAAATCTTTAAAAGTGAATTTTGTAAAGAATCAGTGAAGACCATTTCCTTATTTATACATTGTTAGAATGTCTAAGAGTATTTTTTTGCAAATGTATCATCAATTCAAGTATTATAAAGATATCTCGTAATTATGGAAAATCCAGTTTATTGTACTTATTAATAGAATTGTTGAACATTTCATTATTCTTATTTTCAATCCGTAACCTTTAGAAGTTTTTTTCAAAGATAGAGTTGTTTGCTGTGAATTTGATAATTATTTCAAATCTCTTTTTTTTCTTTTTATTTGATATTAGATTCATGATCTGCAACTGATCGAACAACAGTCAATAGTTTTAATTGTATTTGTATCAACAGCAGTAGGTTTACAACTACCAATAGCTTCAGATGCATATGTATCAACAATGTCACTAGCAGATGCAGCAGTACGAGGAACAGTTATCATAAAAGATAGTTAAATCATATAGGAAAAAAGCTTGGCTACATAAAGAAAATTCTTTTTTTAACTCATATAATTTTTATTACGATATTTCAAAGTATGTTTTGATAGAATTGATAAAGGATCAACTGGGTCAAGCTCAAACTACTTTACTTTCGATGCAGCATAGAGATCTTTTGACTAAACTTGATATAAGATCTCGCTGTCACTTAGCGACCAATACAAATCTTTTATAGTTGAAAAATAGAAAAATATTATTTTCGTTTAGATATCAATGTGAAATATGATGGCGGGAAGTGTAATAGGTGGTTTTATAGGTGGTGGAATTCTGTTGCGTTTGAAATCACGAAAACAAAATAAAAAGTTCTAGAGAGAGAAGAAGCTGATAAAAGATATCTTTCAAAACAAGTCTTTTAAATTTATTATTGAAGTGCGAGCATTCGTTTATATCTCCAAATAGATTTACATTCTCTAATCATACAATATTTACTTACTTGATAGTTGAAATATCTGATTTTACTTTTTGGTCGACAAATAATTTTTAAACTGTTTTTTTTTTATAGAGTATCTTCACGTTGAGATATGCGAAGAGAATATGAAACATACCTTGAAATCGGGGCATTTTTTGATGGCCCGATCGATATCGGGCTAAGACTTACTCATGCCCACGCGACTCGATCCAAATCAGAATGGCACTATTATAGTTATATTTCTTTTACAAAACAAAAGATTTCTATATAATAAAACTCAACCATCACTGGAGTAATTTGTCAAAGCATTGTAAACAGTTTATTACTTATCATAGTGATCTCGAGTTAAATAAGGTTAAACAATTTTGAAGCCTAAAAATGCCAGCTTGACAGATAAGCTAAACTATTTATTGAACCGAAAGAATAAGATACGTTCGTTGGTACTCCACCTTCTGGAATACTATCACTTATTAGCAAGAACTCTGGACAAGTAAAATGTCTACTGGTCAATTTCAAAGATTCAGATCGATTACTATTTCAAGTTAAACTGTTAGTTTTACTATACAATGAACATTGTTCCACTTCACTAATGCTCATGTTGCTTAATGCAGTTGATAGTCCACTTGACTTTGTGTGGGGATGAGGAGTATCATCGAACTGAATAAATGCTGTTTTCATTTATTGCCCAAAAGAAATTTTCAAAACCTTTTCATAAGAAAGCTTCATGATTGTTAGCAGTTGCGAGATGTACAGACCATGTAGAAAATTATTACAAAAAATCAGAAACAAATTACTTATTTTTTTGTTAAAAACCCATTAAAATACTGCTATTTAAGGCCCCCCTCAAAAAAATTCACTTTTGGTCAGAAGTATTGAAACTGAGATAAATACATAGGGAGATAACCCGTGATCTGCTCTTTCAGAAATGACAAAAATTTTCTTTCAGTAGTTCCGTTTTTCCGAAAAATTTTCAACATTTTCGTCATCCCCTATTCGAAAAAAAAAACTTTTTTTAGAACACACCTCTCCCTTTCGGCTCACAGAATCAATTTCGTCATAATGGTCGAAATTGAAATAAATACATGGGAAGATAGACCTTGATCTGCTCTTTCAGGAACGAAAAAAATTTTCTTCAGTACTTCAGTTTTTCCGAGAAATTTCCAAGATTTTCGTCACCCTCTATGAGAAAAAATAAGCTGTTTTTAGAAAAAAACCAAAAAGATTTTCGATTTTTTCTCAACTACCACTTTCCAAAAAGGGCATCCCAAATTTCTCCTCCCCGGTTCGTTCAATATATTAATATTTTTTTTTTGTTGGAAAGAGCATCTCAAGACGCAGGGCATGACATTGCCCTTTTTTTAAATTAGGTCTTTGTTTGGTCAATATACAGCTAGTTATATGATTTTGCTACCATTTTTTGACACTTTTTTGAGTCATTGAACTTGTGATCCATTTTTTGCGCTTAAAAATGGACTATTTCAAAAAAAGGGCAATGTCATGCCCTGCGTCTTGAGATGCTCTTTCCAACAAAAAAAAAATATTAATATATTGAACGAACCAGGACCGAGAGATTTGGGATGCCAAATGAGTCATCTTTGACCCTTGTTTGGCTCATATCTCCCTGAAACCTGAAGATTTCTGACTGAAAATTTTATGGTAGTCTTCCCTTTCTAGCGCCAACATATCCTGAAAGTTTCATCTCATTGGATGTTCCTGGACTGAAATCGATTTTTGAGCGGGGGGGGGGGCTTAAAAAAATATAACTACAGTGTTGAGGCTCTCGTCCACTGTAAATATAATGTCATATCTTTACTTTTTAGCGTGACACTTTTTTTTACTATTTCGGAAGTAAAATAAAACTTGGAAAAAATTTCATTCTGAAGCTGTAAGGCAATTATTCACATTAGCATGTCAATAAATCTATTCTTCGAAAGGGAATGAAATTAATATACTATTATATACTCTTTAATTTCTGATCTTCTATGAATTAATGTTATCTAGAGTCTATTATTTGTTAGTAAACATTGCATTTTACTATTTCTTCTAATACTAAGGTATTTGGGTTATAGTCATTCTTCAGTAGTTTTAATATGTTATCTCTGTCGCCGTAGTAAACTTCTGATATTTATAATGCATTAAAACACTCTCTATTTAACCGTATTGAGCACAGTTAAAAATGTCCGAAATTACGAGTTGTAACGCGTTTATATGCAGAACACATTAAAGTGTGTTTCTGAAAACTGTTATCACAGCATTGAACTATAGTAAAACCAGCGCTGTTAAAACACAAGTTTTCGAACAATAAATGTAAACTGTAAAAAAATGTCTTCCTAAAGAGAGGCGTTTGTAATTTTTCTTTGTCTCTGTCCAAATTATTTTTGACCTGATCTGAAGTGACTTGAGAAGTGAAGAAATTTTTTTGTTGATAATCTAAGTCAAAGATTTAAAATAATAAGTTAATACGAGAAAATGTTTAGATGTAAAGGCAATTTATTCTGTATCGATCAAAGAGATAAAGAAAGTTGACATTTCTTTTACAAATCTCAAGACAACTTGACTAAATGAAAAATTGAGTGACCACTACTTTCTGATCTTGCTTCATCTGAGATTTCATGATTTCTAAGTGATTAGATTCGAGATGTTCGACACTAAGTTTTCTTGGTCTTATGTCGTATTAATTTGTTTTCTTGCGGTCACAGTTCCAGTCTTGGTTCCGACATATAGAAAATTATTTCAAAATGTGTTCTCAAGAAATCTAAAAAATTCTTAAGCTTCTGATTCTTAGATATATTTAGTTGAAGAGTGTTGAATTATTGTATGTTTTTATTAGTACTATTTATTAAAAAAATCGCTTAGAAACAAAAAAACATCTAACTATAATATTTGATCTTGATCATGATAAATTTTCAATTTAGATTTCACAAATCTCAACATTTGATCAAATGTACAATGCTTTTTGCTTCTTACATTTTTACAACATTTTGTTTTTGAGTTTAACCAAATAAAGTCAATCATAATCTTTTATGGAGTCGTATTTTTGACGCTTTGTTTAGATTTCTTATGTCTGATTGATATATTGTATTTTATTCTGAACATGATATTATATGGTATAAAGAGAATTCTATATAATAAATATTATCACATAGAAAGACAAAAACAAAACAATAACCTGCCCAATGAACCACAAATGAATAAAGGAAAATGTTAGATAGAAAGAACAGAGCAATCGCATCAGTCATTTATCGTAGCCTAATATTATGACATGAATATTTATCCTCCTTTATTATTCTCATCGACGACAATGAAAAAAATGAAGACATATAAATTGAAACGAATAGATATTATCAGTTCAGCATGAACATTTCAAATAATAACTCTACCAATATACTTGATTTATCCAATGAAATATTACTGACCATTTTCAACAAATTTAATATGGTTAATGTTCTTTATTCGCTTGTGAATGTCAATGAACGATTGAATCGATTAGTACTTCATCTTCTTTACATTAATAATCTTGGTATGACTATCGAATCATTGCCTAATGAAAACTCTTCAATACATAATCAAATCCTTGATATGAATTTATAAAAAAGCTTTACCTCGAATTCATCATATGTAAATAAACTTACTGTTGAACCATATTCAATAGAACATATTCTAGTTAATATCATTTTTTTCCTCAACTTTACTCGTTATCGTTAGTTAATTTTCAAGAAGAAATACTTTATCAATATTTAACAGGTATACTATTTAATTTTGTTCGTTTTAATTAATAAAATAATGAATTACTTAGACATGAACTAATAGTTGTCTTTTGTTTTTCTTTTTAAATTGAAGGTGATTCAAGTCTTCGTCGTCTTCTTACTGAACAAATCACGCATCTTAAAATTTATATTTCAAAAAAGAAAACGTCACGATGGTTTGAGACTTTACGAAATATTTTTTTATTGATTTTACCTTTATGTAAATGATTAATCGATTTGGATTTTTGTCAATTGTTGTCTGGTCAAAAGTTCAAAAATTGTATTTTTCATCTCTCATCAACAACTTTTATGTCTTCAACTTTAACTAAATTAAAAATTAATGTCAAAACTCTTGATGATTCTCTTTATTTTCTTGATGAACATCTTTATCGCTTATCAACATTTATTATTCATGTGACAAATATTATATTTAAATTATCAAATACAGATAACACAGTAAGTATAATTTTGATCAATGCTTTTTGAGGAAAAACACTAAACTGTATTTATAGATATTCTTTATATTTGCTTTTTATAGAAATAACTTTCTAATTTGAAATGTTTCTGATTAACATCATTTTGTTACACACTTCATTATGATGATCGAATTGTTCCATTACTTCGTCGTATAATAAATTTGGACGAATTAAAATTATATCTGTCAGTAATATAACTTATTGACTCATCTTATATTGATGGTGATCAAATGTACAAAGATATTTCAATTTACATGCCATGATAAAACAAATTAGATTTTAGTATAAATATTTGTGTTGAAAACAAGAATTTTGAAAACATTCAACATAGTTTCATCAAAATCGAAATAGGATATCAACAAATTGGTTCATATGTCGATTTTACATTGTTAGATGGTCAAGACAGATGTCATGCTTATTCACTTCCATATCAATTCGAAAATTTTCATCTTAACAATTGCTTTCAAGATGGCACGCTTGATAAAGTCCCCGATATTTTGCTGATCACTGATGAACGTTCTTTTACATATAAATTATTTAAAATAATCTCTGAAGATTTTCCTTTATTTGAAGGGTTATATATATTTAATGATAATCCATCAAAGAATAAGCAATATTCGTCTACATTAATTATATTTCCTCATCTTATAATTCTTGATCTGCGCAAAGCACATTTGAATTATGCTAAACAATTTCTTTTCGAAAAAAACACTCATCTACCTCGTTGATTGAATCTCAGCATCAAATATAGAACGATTGCAAAGATAACAAACAATTTTACCAATGATGTGCAGCACGTCTTAATTGCGCCAAATTAAAATATCTTTATATAGATAAGCAGTATTTTCGTCCAGAGAATTTCCATCAATATTTTCCTTTACTATAAATATTATTGTTGTTAAAAATTGTTTAAATAAAAGGAAATAATTGAAGAAAGTTAATTATATGTAATGATCATCATCTAAAATAAATCATAATAATAAGACAGAAAATAATATTTCATATTTCCTGTAGTTATACAAGAGTGGTTTTATTGTTATTGTTGGTAGTTATCACCACTCTAAAGAATAAAAGAAATATAAATAATATCAGTTTCACTGACAAATAGCTTTTTTTTTCTTGTTTGAATCAGAACTAGAGCTTTGAACGGATTCAAAGTTTCGAACCCGCACTTAATCTGACGTCTTCTAATTGACAGGAACTTGTGGAAGTTATTTTTTCTGGATTTTTCTGATACTCGTTTTAGATTTCATCATCAGATAGAGAGAATATGTTGGCAGATATTTGGCTGAGGGTTAGGTGTGATTTTTGAAAACTATGACTCTCTTGTAGTACAGTAAAGTGTATTATATGATATCAAAAATAGATTCCGATAGCATCTTCTAGTTCAATTTGGGCTCGAACAACCCTAGTCAACCTGATGCAGTTTAACCTTAAATCCAATCCCCATCCAATATTTATTCGTTTGTTTATGCCAGATTAGTTTTTTTCTTCGAATACATTTATTTGAAAAAAGTAAGCTTCGTATTAAATATGGAATACACGACAAGTGGCATCAAAGGATCTCAATATTTCTGAAGTGATGTTAAAATTTACGTTAGTCTTGATATCCAGTATTAGGAAATCGTTCGAAACTTGAGTAGATTATTCAATCAACATAGTACTTAGCAACTGTACGATATCAATTGTTATGGCCTTAACGTTACTAAGAAAAGATGGCAATATTGTTGCTCTCTTTTTTTTTTTTATAAAAGTTTTAAAAAATATAAAACACTGAGACATCATTAAATAGTGATGATTTAGATGCTGATCTTGACGTGTTGTCCATTTAGTAGTTCTGACACGAAAAATTGAAGAAAAATATTTGTTAATATCTATTTTCGTGCAAAAGAATGTGAGGAGATGCAAAACATTTTCTTTATTAGTCCCAGTACATGTATACTAGAAAGGCAAAAAGATGGGCACGCATACGATCACTGTTACATGGAATGGTAGTGATTAATGTTTTTGGAAACTATAATAAAAAAAAGATAGTTTAGTGTTGCTATGATTTCTTAGCTCATTCTTAATTGCAGCCGAAAGCTCCGCCCTCACCCACATTATCGGTCTGCTAATGTGTTTCATCTTTGGTCACAATTAAGAAGATACAGATTTACCGTTTCTGCGGAAAATTTTTAGGAGAAAATTGTGGTTTTTTGAAGAAACATCGCAGTATCATTTGAATAACTACGGTTAACCGAGGTTTTTTGCACCGCATTGAACAAAAATCGTGGTACGCTTACTCATAATCGCAATATTAGCTATTACGGTTGTTAGCGGTTTCATGCACCACTTTGTACTCACTAATAACCGCGGTACTATATACAACGGTTGTGTCAATTGTTTGGGTGTGGATTGTGAGTATTTTTGTATCACACACCCACACCCCTTTAATATGTCGCATCTCTTACATGAAAGTTCCTTTAGCATTAATAAAAAAAGAACCAACGACGATGTATTATTCACATACTCGTCTCGTTTATCATTCTCATTTTCTTTCACTATAAGTTCAAATGAGATACGAAAAGATTAATTTATTAAAGAAATCCAAAAATATTCTGTTATTATAAGGAACATGGTTACTGTATTGAAGAAATACCCAAATAAAGATGCTGCATGGTTTGATGTTGTTGTTACTCTCATTGTCGACGTAATTGTTGAGTGAGTTGTTTCCGTAGGTTTATGTGTTGTTGTCGCATTGATCACTGACAAATTAAGAGGCAAGATATATTCATCTGATAACATCTGAAATGTCTCAATAGCACTGGTATTATATCCACAGGTTGGAGTGTTACAATAGTATGAGCCACCTTCCTTCAAACCTTTTCCTATTTCATTTGCGGTATACGATTGAACCCATTCAACTTTTGGTGAGTCGGTTATATGTAGACATTTACCTATAACGGTTGTACTTTCACTGCTTTGCACATAAAAATATGAGACGACACAAAGCGATTTATTGTAAGGACATGAATCATTACTGAAACATTTGATAGGATCAGTATTATCTGGATTATAAAGACGAGAGACAAGTTTTTCACGAATAGGTTGTACTTGTATTGCAGACCAATTTGATGATAAGGTTTCACGTACAAAGTCGATATCACAATAATCGGATACTGAACAATAATATCGAATAGTTACTTTTACTGATGTATCATTCAATGAAAAAGTAGTTTCAATCATGAGCACATCTTCGCTTAAAATCGATCGGTTTTCAGCATCAAATGATCCATTAACCAGACCCGTAGTAAAATCAATTGTTAATTTAACTCTACATTGTTGCTTAATATCATCATTTAATTTTGATGTTGAACAAAAATCAGATGGGAGTGAAGAGTTTAATTGTATACCACGAAATGAACATGACTTTGAGCATCGACTTGATTCAATGGTTGGCACTGTAGATAAGAAAATAAATATGAAGAGAACATACATAATAACAGCATTCTTCATGATATTAACAACATTTATATACTGAGAATGCTAAATAACAAATATATATACACAGTCTGTTCTTGACTATTTGGCTTTCCTTTACTAAATAGATGATAAAAACCGACGTCAATCTTTTAGGTTTTTATCGGTAAGTGATTCATTGAAGTTAAATATAAAATTCTGGTGTCATATTTTGTTTGACGTGTGTGCATGAAAATACAAAAGTAGACATCCTTTATTTATTGCATTCGGTGTGCTTCCAATGAATCATATAAAAAAAAAGGCTAAGTCAACATTAGAGAAAGAGTTTTCTTTTCATCTTTGAAAGAAAAAGATTTAAAATTTTACTTCAAGCTGAATGATTCTGTTAGATTAGTGTCTTCATATTTTCAACTATACCTCACAAAGTTCAAAATTAATTAGCGAAAATCATTTCAACATTTTTCCTTATTGTTGAATGTATCCAGACATAATAGAGAAGAAGGATTTTAACTACCAAACAGCTTATTTTTACACTCGACTATAGTTTTAACCTGGTATACAATTAAATACTCGATCAATCTCATCAAAATTTGTTGAATTCCAGGTAGACACGACAACGACTGAAATATCGTTTAAACATCGTAGTATGTAAACCATTAAAAAAGTTTGATTAGTCGTCAAAAACGAGTTAAAACAGTTTAAGACTAATAATTTTCTAACACCGTTTTTTATGTTTAAACGCTCAGAGTTATCAAAGTTTTCAACGTTTTAACGAATTTTTTGCGACTAATCAAACACTTTTTAATGATTTGAACTTTTCGCATAAGTGATTAATTAACAAACATACAGGGTCTCACCAAAGACCATACCCAAAAAGGTTTTTACGTATAACTTCATTGATTGACTTTCATTAACTGACTTTTCCAGAGAAGGTTGATTTTTCAATTTTTCTATTCATTCTTTCAAAAAACGATGGCTAATCTCGTTTGCTGCATATGTTTTTTGTTTAACTTTAAATATTTTATTTTGTTGAAAAATGTCAATTTAAATTTCTTCTTTCTCAGGTATTAGGTGGCTGAGTTCTCATATATCATTTGCAATACACGATCGCATAATAGAAAGCAAAAAGTATTTTGTAGTTACAATATTTTATGCCTATTCTTTTTATGCTGAGAAACTCAAGTTTCATATTTCAAACAACTAGCGAAATGAACTTTTGAAGGAATTAATCGTTAAATTTTAAGACTAATCCAATAATTGGTTAGAGAGAATGGGGAACTAGTAACCATCTAACAAAGGTTCGACTCTTAAAAAAATTAAAAAAATAGAATCCGGATTATCATTACTATCAAATGCTCTACTCGATTCACAACATTAATTATATTTTTATTTGATTCAGTTCGTACTATTGAAATATTAAGTGACATTGTCGAAAACAGAAATATTCTATGTGCAGCGAGAATTGTCACAAACGCTGAGCCTATTCTAATAATGATATTGTCATCTTTGTACGTGTTCCTATCTAGCTTTGTCTTGACTGATAAGTTTTTGTGTTATTTATTCATCTATTGAAGACTAATAATTAATTGTATATGTAGCTGAAATTGTAACCATCTCAAAAAACTCGTCCTATAAGCGTACTCGTAACAAATTTTCTTTATGGAACGCTTTACCTGAAGAACAATTATTGGAATACTGATAATCTAATTCTCGGCAAGTGATTCTAACGTTTATATTTTGTCAATTTTACATATAATAATCGCTGTAACTTCATCGATATGAGAACTTGTCAGAAAAACTCACTGTTACTAACTATACACCAAGTACCTTATTCTTTCTCCCATTTTGAAAGATCTTTTTATTAGAAGAAACGTTTATTTAAGTCGAGTATTTGTATTTTCATACACACAATAAAGATATACATTACTTATACTGAACCGTATATTGATTCTAATTAGTGTTGAATCCAACTATATTTGGCTTTCTTAAACGTACAGTAAAATACATTGACGTTGGACAATACGATATTATAAAGTTCTTTGAAAAATTCAATCTACTATCTGTTGCTGATGATCTGATTATTGAAAGCTATACGATATGAGATGTATTGGAATTTTATGTTTGTTCAGCATTTTAGTTTGTTATAGTATGACGACAGGAAACAAAAGAAAAGTTTGCTTTTCACTCTTATCACATATTAGGAAAGAATAATATTTGTTTTAACGATCTACCGTACGAGTAAAATACTGATGAGAGGATACAATGAGAATACATATACAACCATGATGAAAACTTACTACGAGGAGTGCTCTTAATTAGACTTTTACGCTTATCGTTACCTTAATTTCGATCATTAGTAGTAGAAAATATTTTCTTCTTTTGATATCCCTACACAGTAACAATAAGTCTAATGTCGGTAATGTTTTACAAATCATTAGTAAAAGATACGTATTGTAAACATGAAGTAACTATTACGAACACGCAGTAATTACTAATACTTGCTATTTCCCACGACATGCGTAAATCGTTTATTTACTGGTGATGGGATGTGATTTAAATATATTTGATCAGGTATAAATAATTACTTCACAATAGTTAAAGTAGTCACTTTTTGATGGTTAGTAACAGGTAATTATTAATAAATACCGGCGATTATCACCTTCTATGTGATAATGATACTACTTATTGAGAAAGTAAAAATAATAATAATAAATTTTTCAAGTTACACCTTATTTTTTTTAATTTGCAATGAAACAAAAAAATATTGTTTCAAAATATCTTTTTGCAAAAAAAAAGGTGATATTAGGATGTTGTAAACGATTTCAGTCACAATTTTAGTAGATCCACTATTAAAAGACATTTAATGTAAAAGTTAAATCGATAAACATGTTAACATGCGTTAAAATGCTATAAACACGTTTGTGGTCGACAATTGTCTTCCTCGGTAGGAGCACTTACTCTGAAATAGAATTGAATTATAATAGTTTTGAGAAGAATATAATAAACATAATTTATTTAAATTGTTCAAGTGGATGGACATTCGTTATAATCGATTGAGTGCATAGGAATCAATCATCTTGATACACAAATTATGAGAAAAAGTGATGAAAAAGTAATCGCTCAAGCAAATATTTTGATAAACTTGGTAATTTTTTTAAATAGTTGCATTATGTTTAGTCCAGTTTTCTTATGCCTGCCTATCCAAGAGTATATTTAAAAAGAAAAAAATTCTTAAATTAGACTGAATTGAATTTGTTTATAGATGATATCATATTTTATCTTAAAAATTCATTCATCTATTTACACAAAAAGTAGTTTTAAGTTCATAATTGTTAGCAATATTGTCATCATTCGTTTCATTACCGTTTCTTTGTATGAAAAAATATTAAATAATAACAGAAAACAGTGAATTTAAAATGATAAAAATTTTCATATGAATTTTTGGCATGATACAGTTACTATACTGTTTAACTATACGTTATTTACGATCATAGAATTGTTCGACTGTTTGATCAGTCGACCAAGAAGTTCGATCAGCATTTTTATCGAATTGACGACTGGTATCATCAATCCCATGTTTTATTTTATGTTCAATTCTCACACCAATATCTTAGTTAATTATTTATATGTATGCTTGTAATATTGAATAATACACACCACTATAATTTTTAAAAAAAAGGCATTCATAAAGGATCGCAACACAAAAATTGTTAAATAGTGATAAATATATTTTGAAGTATGCTCTATTGGATGGAGTAAAATTTTTGTTAAGAATTTTAAGCAATATGGAAGAACGAGAAGAAAAAAATTAGACTGGAAATAATGGTATCAATGACAGTTCCAAAGCATCGCACCGAGTAACATATGTGTTTGACTCGTCCCTCTTCTTTCTGTTAGGCATCCTTTATGAACTAATACAATTCTCAAAAGAACAAGAGAAAATTTGTTTTTTGATAATGCACTATTTAGTTTTCACTTTGAAGCATCTTGATCAAAGGATACCATTTGACAAATATCAGACTGAAACGCTAAACATAACAATTGTTTTTGATCAATATGTTAACTTCTACATTTGATGTGATTTTAGGTGGATTAAAAAATGTATTCATGATAGTTGCTCGAAGATTTCTTCAGACCTTTCGATCTGAAAGTTTTCGAAATAATTGAAACTTTTCTATAACTTTTACTCGAAATATTTTGAAAATCCTGTGTATAAAATCAATGTTAGTAAAGCGAACGTATTTTAGAGATGTCTGTGTTTAATAGCATAAATCTCTATTATTTTAGAAGCTAAAATTGTGGTTTTATACCATAAGAAAGAAAATTGATTTTTGCATATCCTCCTATGTAAAAATGATGTGCGATTATTTTAATAATTAAATAATTCGCAATAGACAAAACAACATACATATCTGAAACGTTCGTTTTATCTGTCATGTTGATAAGGCAAACGGTCAAGCGTAGAGTAAGCGAAAACCTCATTGACTAATAGGTTTACTCACTCCTAGTTACAAATTCCAAAAGGAGTTTTCTTTTTAAAAATAATATCATTGAATTTCTCATCTTCAATTTTATAGAATTCTAGCGGCTCAGTAAAGAGAACGTTCAGCGAGAAAATATTGTTAACGTGAACGCGTCAGTTATTTTGACTGGAGATCAATTGTTCAAGAATATTTTATTCACTTCCGCTTCTTAAAGTCTAAATTGATCATGATGACTTGTGACAGGTCTCTTCTCAAGGCTTAGATCTAATATTAACCACTAATTGAAGTAATATTGACGAACAATTTGTTTCGTGCATTGTTCTCTCTTTAATCTTTCCTTTTTTTCGTGACCACTTCAAAGCTAATTGCATTACAAACGACGGTTGGTCATGTTCGAAAAGAAAGAAAAAGTCAATGAAGTCGTTACAAGTTGCCTGTTTCTTCAAATGATAATGAAAAATGAAGTAAATTGATGAAACTGAGAAAAAGCATAAAGTTTTTCGAGAGTTGAAACAAAATCAGTCGAGCAAAACAAAGCTACGTGAAGGTTACGGACTAGAATTATATTCATTTTCACCTATACCGTCTATGCGGAATGAGAATATGATGTTAGAGCTCAATTTTGAAATTATCCAGACAAGAAGTTGACGATAGCAGAGGAAAAGAGATTGAAAAGCCATATCTGAGTGTAATTGTTTAAAATTTTGTTACTTGAAAAGAGTACGTGTTAGTTATTGAATTTAAAATACTTTATATTCATTTTATAGTCCTCTTGTTGTGTTCTATCAGATTCCGTAATTAGCTATTCCTTTTTGTGCAACATTGGTATAAAGCGCCGAAGAACACCATAAAATTGGATTAAAGATTGTCTAGCTATACGCTCTCGTTTTCGATCATAAAAAGTATAGGTGACATTTTCGAGGAGTATGGGTGCTATAGAAAATATTCGATCTTCTGATGGAACCTCTCTTAGGACAGATAGGATTCCAAAAAACTCATACTCTACTGAAGTCAAACAATCAATGATCAGGATTTTTTTATCGGAATTTTGTCGGGATCTGAAGGAAACCGATAGAATCTCGTCAGAATTTGCTGATATCCAGTCAAATTCGACTATTGGAATTCTGGTCACTAGGTTTTCGATTATTTTTCGTAGAATTTTGTCTTTATTAAGACAATAGAACACGTTCTGATAGATTAGTCTCGATCTGAACATAAACTATCTATGGAAAAGGATCTATACTATTGAACTTCTCATATCTCATAGAGTCTTTGCTCAAGCCTTTTGAACTTTTTTATGGAAACTACGTAGTATAGCTAAGATCAACAAAAGCACAAAGCTTTAGATAAGAACTCCAAGATTCAATTTTTCCGATAAAATGGAGTTGTAATGTAGTGTCTATAGACAAAAATTCATTGAAGTTCAAGAAGGGCACCTGGGAGATTCTCTTGTAAACTCAAATAATATACGAAAAAATCAATTTATTAATTTATCAAAAAGTATTTTGTGATTGCAAAGAAAATGATTATTGTGTTGAAGAAATGCCCAAATAAAGACGTTGCATGATTTGATGCTGTTGTCACTCTAATCGTCGACGTGATTGCTGAGGAAGTCGTTTCCGTAGGTTTAGGTGTTGTTGTTGTTGTATTGATCAATGACAAATTAAGAGGCAAGATATATTCACGTGATAATCTCTGAAATATCTCAATAGCACTGGTATTATATCCACAGGTTGGAGTGTTACAATAGTATAAACCGATTTCAGTTAAACTTCTCCATATTCCACCTCCCTCATATGACTGAGACCACAGAAGTCTCGGTGTGCTGATTGAATCCCGACATGTACCCGAAACGGTTAGATCTTTATTCCATTCCCAATACACATAGGAGACGAAACATAGCGATTCATTTTGAGGACAAGAATCATTACTGAAACATTTGATGGGATCTATATTGTTTGGATCATAAAGATGAGAGGCAAGCTTTTCACGAATGGATTGTACTTCTACTGTAGACCAATTTGATGATAAAGTTTCACGTACAAAGTCAAGATCACAATAATCGGATACCGAACAATAATATCGAATAGTTACTTTCACCGATATATCATTCAATGAAAAAATGCTGCGAATATCAAGTTTATTGCTGACTAAACTTGATTGGTTCTCAGTGTTAAATGATCCATTAACAAGACCTGTGGTAAAATCAATTGTCAATTCAACTCTACATCGCTGATTAATATCATTATTTGATTTTGATATTGAACAAAAATCAGACGGAAATGAAGAATTCAATTGAAAATCTTTAAATTTACATTCTTTTGAACATCGACTTGATTCAATGGTTGGTAATGTGAATAAGAATATAAATATGAAGAGAACATACATAGTAACGGAATGAGTCACGATATTGGCAAGATATTTATATACTAAGATTGCTAAATAGCAAATATATATATATTCATACGCTGGTCTGTTCTTGACTATTTTACTTTTCTTTAGTAAATAGATGATAAAAAAAACGACGTCACTCTTTTAGTTTCTCACCGATAGGTGATTCATGAAGTTCGATAAGAAATACTGTTGTCATACTTTGTTTGACGTATGTGCGTGAAAGCACAAAAGTAGGCGTTGTTTATTTATTTGATGCGGTCATATTGCAATGAATCAAAAGCAATATCAAATTAACATATAGTAGTCACGAGAAGTTCTGTTGCCAAATAAAATAAAATGTATAAACTTCAATCTTTTCGCCTTATATTTTGACTAGAAACAGCTCGACAAATCCTGATCTTAAGTGGCCATTCGCGACTGATAGACGCTAAAGCAAAGGTACCTGCATTTTCTTTTTCATAAATAAAAATTCGCATGTCTATATTATGTCATAGATAAACTACTCCAGTTCGCTATAATTTTGAGGTATAGCAAAGCTTCTGTTGTCTGAAACGGTTCCAACATGAGTCTCTTGTCCATTGATGAATGCAATCGTGAGGGTGTGGGTGTGGTGGAGTAGGGCACCTAAAGGGACATGCACACCCACCCACACCCACACCCACACCCTTATTTGTTTTGTATTTTTTGAAGAAAAAATATTTTAAATGTTTTTTCAATTTGAATGATTATGCTTGATTTAATGTCTCCATTTTATCAAATACATTTTACGAAGTGTAAAAATTATTTAAAGAAAAATAACAGAAACATTTTCATTATTGTTTTATGCGTAAATTGATAATATAAAAGAAAGACATAACTACCAAACAACACATTTTTTTACTCGACTATTTCCTTGACCTGGTTTACAACGAAATACTCTATCAAAGTCATCAAAATTTGATGTAGGACCAATTACTCTACAATAGAATTAAATAATAATATTCTTGAAATGAATAGAATAAACATATAATTACCGAAATTGTCCAAGCGAATGAACATCATTCAAAATACTATTGAGTATATATGCATTAGTCATTTTAATACACCATGTGTGAGCAAAATTGATAAAAAACAATTGTTCAGCCGAATATTTTGTTAGACCTGGTAGTTTTTTGTCAACGTTTGCATTAGATTTAGCCCAGTTTTGATACGCCTATCAAAGAGAATATTTACGATAAATAAAAAAGATCTGTAAATTAGACAATGTTAAACTTGTTTACAAGCGATATCACAATCTATTTTTAGATTAAATGATTTACTTACATAAAAAGCAGCTTTAAGTCCACCATTGTCAGCAATATCTTCACCTTGTGTCTGATTACCATTACTCTATATTACAAGATAATAATAAAAGAAAACATGAATTTAAAAAAAAATAGAGACATTCATATGAGATTGTGGCACAGTATAGTTACTATACTGTTCAATAATACATTGTTTACGATCATTGAATTTTTCAATTGTTTGATCAGTCCACCAAGGAATTCGATTTCCATCTGTATCAAATTGACGACCAGTATCATCAAATCCATGTGTTATTTCATGACCAATAACCATTCCAATACCTTAATTAATTATTTCTATTTATTCTATCAATATTAACTAATACATACCACCATAGTTAAGATATCTTAAAAAAAGAACAAGAAAAATTATTTATGTATGATAGACTAACTAGTTATTACTTTGGAGCATCTTTATCAAAAAATGGCATTTGAAGAATACCAGCCGGAAAAGCTAAACATAATAATCATTGAAAATTCATGATAAAAATTTGTTCATACTAATTTGATTTTGAGATGGTTCATAAAATGCATTAATAACAGTTGGTGGAAGACTTCCCCATACTTTTCGTTCAACAGGTTTTCGAAGAAATTGAAAGTTTTCTAAAGCTTTTATTTGAAGCATTTTCAAAATATTCTTAATATGAGATGAATTGAAAACATACTAAATAGTTAACAAATTATTATATCTCGAATAATAATAATAACAAAGCACAGAGAAAAACAAAGTAATATATTCAAAAAATTATTTCAAAGTAATTATAAATCTCACCGCAGCATAATCATTTTCAAGTTTTGTGTCATTACCATTGGCTAAATAATCCGGATAACCAATTTGTTTATCAATGGCTTTAGCCTAAAATATGATTTGTTGTATTTTTGTTTTGTTCACATTGAAATATTTATCAATATTTACTTTATAAATTGCTTTAATTTTCGATGTATTATCCATCCATGAAGATTGATCAACTATATTAATAAATGAATTTCGAATATGTTCAATCATTTCTAATGACTATATTAACAACATAAATTATAAGATTTAAATATATTTATTTTAATACCTCATTTCGAGCATTTTCATCAAAATAATTTTTAATATAAAGTTTTGAAACTACAAAACCCATATTATCATTAACATAATCACCACATTTTATTGTTCGTAATTGTTCAGCATTGGTGCCGTGAAAAACTCTATCAAATTGTTCTTTAATATTGCGAATATATGTTGGCATATTTTCAGCTTGATCCATTATAAAACGCCATATAAAATAATTTTGTAAAATTCGTGGTGAAGTTGCATTGATTATAGACGAAGCACGTATCAAAAAATCTAATTCACTTACTGCTACAGGATCCTTATCATTCAGAGTTACATTACCAAACAGATATGCAGAGTAAAGATAACCCGCGAAATTAAACTGTTCAAAAATAAATAAATAAGAACAAAAAAAAAACTCAAAATTGAAAATTTACACTTGTATTCAATGTAAGAGAAAGATTAGACATTGTTGTACGAACTGTTTCATTATGTCGAGCTTGTTGTTCATCATAACTCCAATAATACTATATAGTAAAAAAATAAAATATAATATTTATATATAGTATGACGAAGTCTAACTTTTGAAATATTTTTTTCAAAATCGAATATTTCTTTTACATCTTGATCAATCATTGAAGTATCATTAGTCAATACTTCAGCTAAGCTCGACATAAATTGTCGATAAGCAATAGTAATATTCGTTTCATTAACATAATATTGACGTTGTGGTAATCCAAGATCACCTTGACCAATCTAAAATAATATCATATTTACAATATATTACTATTGAAATAATTCAATTTAAAAAAAAAAAAACTAATCGAACTTACTAAAATATTTGTTGCTGAAGAATTTTTCTCATCAACATCACTATATATTTGGAAGATAATATTATAACTGTATTGACGAAGTTTAAGTAATAGATTTGTTAGATTAAACATTGAACTATTCCATGATGAACCTTGTAGTATAGGCCAACCACCAAATTTTGTATTTATTAATGATAAGACAGGATCAATTCCTTCTATTTCAATCTTTTTTTCATCAATACATGAACGATACAATATACGAGCATTAATAACAGATTGAAGTCCATCTGTTTCATTTGTCGAGATTGTTGATAGTAAATCTATATCAAAATAAAAAATATATTAGAGAAAAATAAAAATAAAAAATACTTTATTCGAACTTACCAACAATATTATAGTTAAGTTTTTCTGTGAGAATTCTAAACATATTTTGTGCGTTAGCTATAAATAATTCAAAAATAATCATATTCAAGAAAAATATGTTACTAAAATCGAAACATGGACAAATTATTTGAGTTCTGAACGCATGAAACCATCCGAAGTCAAACAACTCTAACAACTAAAGCAACCCCAGGAGCTCAAGTGTTTGTTGAAATTTAGATATTAGATAAATCCTAGTATTTCAAAAGATATTGAAACCATTATGCTTTGGTTATCCACGAATTTTAAACAACTGCAACAATATCCTACATCCAGAAATTTTAGATACAATCTTTTCCGTGAATATTCAAATATGTTTACGACTGTGAGTATATAGAGAACTGAAATCCAAACTCACATTCTCACAACCGAACCCATGCCTATAGCCACACTTATACCAGATCCACTCTATCATCCACATATTATAATGCACTAATGGCTATTTATTTCATGTCACCTGTCCGACAGTATGCTGACTATGTTGTGACATACATCTACTCTTTTGGTTAGTCAATGTTTACGATGAACTTTAGCAATAGAGCGCAAAATATCTGCATTAGGCTAGTCTTCTGTCCAGAGCTACAGATAGTATTTTTTGTAGAAAATATATCGGATTAATGAATCTGTTACTAAGAATGAATATTCTTCTTAGGTCGTGTTTCACAAAGAAAAAATTTTTATTTACCATCATCAGGTATTCTATTATTTTTAAGCCATGTTCCACAAGAAAATTGATAAAAATTTTCGCATGGTTCAACCGATTGATCAAGACTATCCAGTAGATAATCAGCTGTTATAGAAAAATAATATTTCTATAATTTTTCATCAAATTAATATTTACCTGCTTTGATACAATATGGACTGACACATAAATCATTATTAACTAAAATAAAATAAAATTTTTCGATATAAATATTACTAAATTAATACCATCTGTAGATTTCGTGCTTTTTTCGCGGGCAAAGAGAACAGCTAACACAATTGTAGAAATAATAAAAATACCGAGAAGAATTCCGCATAGTATAAATAATATTTTCGAGCGTGATTCAAATAGTCGAGTTCCTCTATAAACAGAAACAAAAATTCAAAATTTTTATATCATATTAGTTTCTCAAAAGAAATTTATACTTGAGCCATTCTAATGTTCCAGCACTTAATCGTCTTGCCATTTAGTAATATTTTTGACACAAACACTCTACAATCGTTCAAGTCAACGTAAAAAATATTGCAGTTATTGATGTATCATCGGTTTTTTATGAGACTACTTTGATGAAGTCAATGATTTATACTATTCTTATTTTGTAAATACCATATGACAAATATATGCTTTCATGAGAATTTCAATGATGAACAGGATTTTAGGACTTACTTTTTTTATGATTTATTATATGTTTATAAAGTTTCAAGATATTTTCTTTGCTATATCGTATATTATGGAAGTATTATGTCTTTTATAAGATTTATGTAAAATAATTGTATTATAGAAGTTGTCATACAAACTCCTTAACATCAAATAATTCCTCAACACATCATGATTCTGCTAGCGAATTTATTCGATATACATATATCGCTATTGGCATTCCTCTGCATATAACTCTCTAACATGAATTGATTTCTCAGATGATCGATTCTTTTTCCAACGGAGACATTTTAAACATAACAGAACTGATTTATATCAATAATCACTGTTCTAAAATTTTTCCAACGAATTAACTACATCAGGTGACTCAGTAGTTAGAGCGATGACTTCTCATTTTACATATCTATGAATTGAATTATTATTCGGTTCGCTCTTTATTTTGTTTAATATGTCATTAAAATAACCCTATTACAATCTCTATTAAAACTTCTGTCATATAATACGAAATCTATTCTGCATTTATTATTCTTTCAGTAGGTATACTATTAAAACATACCTATGTCATCAAGTCTTAATAAATTCCGAAATAGAAGTAAATACTAGAATTTAACTAAAAAATCCCGCAAAAAAACTAAACCTTTGAAGTCGCTGTAGCATGCACGAACAGAAATATTCAAATTTCACAGTATTCAAAATATATCGAGGCTGTCATGATTATTAAGCGAATATGTTGTTCGACACTTATTCACAAGATACTGTCTTCAAATCTGGGTATCATCAGTCATAGAATAACTCTGGACAAGTCACTAACAGTCGTTTATCTCAAAGCATTTGTCTAATAATATGCTGACTAAGTTGTGACAGTCAACTACTCTTATCGCTATTATGTAGTTGATCGCTAGCAATTGAGCGCAAGAACTCTGAGTCAGATTATTTTTTTCCAGAACTACAGCTAGTATTAGTTGTAGCAAAAATATCTAACTATTGAATCTGTTACTCGGTAGTATTCTATACTACTAGAGATAGTCGAAAGACAGGAATATGCTTCTTTCTTTCTCTAGTCTATAACATATGCTTACACTTCAAAATTGCGCCAGTTCTGATTTTTCTTTAATTTTTTCTTCATGGTTGAATAGAGCTAGTTGATTTTACATACGAAAACACAATATTGCATATATAAAATCAATTTTATGAAAAAACGCAAGATACTATCATGGTTAAATACAACCGTAAGAAACACCGAATTCTGACTATCATTAAATTACTTTTAAATATGTGTGATATTTTGTTTTCGTATGTACCTCATCAAAATCTATCCAACCATAACGAAAAAAAACAAAAATAAATATTACTTCAATTTTGAACTGCGAGCCCATGACATAGACTGTAAATATCTTGAAATTCGAATATTTCGATACGTGCAAGCTATGATCAATGCATATTTTAAATTAGTTAATTTGTCAATGAAACGATTCGTTTGGCATGAACATAATCAATTTCTTTTATTTACAGTAGATGACCTTCCATTCTTAGAAGATCTTGAACTCAATAACAACCGTTAAAATTATAAATCGAAACAGCATTGTAAAAGACGAACACTCGTCATCATTGTAGTTCTATGACGTTGTACTATCTATTAAATCTCGAATCCTTTCAACGATAAACGCTCGATATAACTGCTTGATATTTTCTTATAGAATTTCAAAGCTCAGTAAAAAAACAAAAAAAGTCTTAAGAAATTTGTTACTATTGAAAGAAAAATTTCTTGATATTTTTCTCTTAATTTTTGCCATTATTATTTCTATATTCTTATTCAAATCACAATTGATCATAATTCTTTAACTGCGTCATACAAAAGTAGAATAACGCATACATTTTTATTTTTCACTACTCTTTGTCAGTATCAAATGTTTCATATAAAACAATTGGAAGTTGTACAAAAAAGAAAAAGTAAATAAGTTGCACAAGTGAAAAGAAAGAAGCAAATATAAACTTAATGTCACGAGTAAAACAAAACGTAAAAAAAAAAAAAAAAAGGAAAAACAAGGAATGAATTTGTCATCAAAGAAGAAGATCACTTTGATGGAATGTATAATAACAGAATAGTTATGTATATACAAAAGACGAACAAATATGAGAGATTCTATAATAAGAATAAAAAATGAAATATTCATTCAACAATAAGTTCAAAATGAACACTACCACGTTTAAATTCTAAACTATCATTATGATCAATATTTCTTGCATATGCACGACATTCAACATTAATTAAAACATTTGTTTCAATTTTTTTAAAATAAACAAAAACTAATGGACTACGATAACCATCTTGATTAACAAATGGAAAAAAATTACGATGAAATCCACCTATGTTTGTTGTATTCATTTGTGAAAAATATTCTATTTCATATATAAAATCTCGATCAACATCATTTTCTCCATTACATTCAACTAATATATAATCAGAAAATTCACTTTCCCATATAGCTAAACAAATGAAATTGTTTATTGAAAATCATAATTATTAAATTAATTTACCTTTAAATTGTTCAGGTACTTCAGCAGCATTTTGATATGTAATTGGTTCCCAATCATAAATTTTATTAAGTTTTAAAAGAACACATGGACGACCAAAATTATATTCAAAATTTCTTTGTGTAACACATGGTGTTTGACGATTTCGAAACATATTTATATCAAAACGACATGATTTACCTTCATAAAATTGTGGACGAAGTTTATCAATTGAAACACCATTACAATCGATAGCTCGTTGATATCGAACATCAGCTTCAGTATAATAAGCTAAAAATTGATCTAATTGTTCTTTATATTCACCCCAACCATTTCGATGACCCCATGTATCACGATGTGATGAACGATATTTTATTAAAGTTTTTTGAACACTTATTTGAGGACGAAAACCAAGACCTTGAAATATGAAAATTTCTTTTTTTTCTACAAGAAAAACGTTTTTTGTTTCTTTTACCAGGATTTGGTCGAGATGTATCTAAAGCCATAGCACTTGAATTTCCTCTATATGGTGGTATACGTTTATCAACAATAGCCATAAAAATACCAACAAATGATGCAAATATACCAGCCATAAACATAAACCATATAAAATAGTAAATAGCTATTCTTGCCCATGCTAAACCATCTCTTCCACAAACTTCACGATATTTTGGATTATAACACCAAACACTAACATTATGCCATTGTTCATCCCATGTTAATTCATCATCTTTAACAACTATTTCTTCTTTATTTAATGCCGATTTATCTGACATTGAAAATGGATAAGATTTTACAGATGCTGACATATATGTTGAATCAGCTGCCATATTTTAGATTTAACAAACTACTTTATTGAACAAATGTTAAAAATAAGAAATAAGTCAATCAACTCTTTATTTTAATCAACAGCGCCATAATTATGGTCATAAGAACTCAAAAACTAAATGATCAGTTATATGATAGATGTCGCTAATTAACATCATTTTTAGCAAACTACAAATTAACAGTAGAGGGAGGAGGAGGAAAGTTACTGCCATGTTATCAGTTACCGGATGACAGAGAATTAGTGAATTTCATTGTTTTATCGAAGAATGGGCGTTGAAACGAAAATTATGATCCTTTTTAAGGTTTCAACAAAAGTTTTGAAATCAAAGAATCCGAATCTGTAATCGGTTTCTCGAAATTGTGCACTGAAATTTTTTCACTAAAGAAAGGATTTTTTCAGTAAGTAAAAATTTTTTGATAAAGTCTAATCAAAAGTTTTTGAGATCGAGAAAACTTGACCGAGAAATCTAGTAAACAATCTTGACAAACTGATTACGGATTTGAATTTGTCGATCTCGAAAACTTTCAATGAAATTTTACAAAAAGAAAAATGGTGATTTTTCCTCATAAAGCTATTCCCTGACAAAAGAATCGAATCTACAAATTTTCCATTATCTCACTACTTAATAACTGGTAATGACGCGACAAGGAGAAAAAGCAAGGACTTTAGTCTTGAAGTCTCATGAACGGATTCATTGTTCTTTATCTGGTAACGGTAATTTTCCACCACTAAATAAAGATCGGTTTTTCGTTAGAATATGAATTCATTTTCTTCAAAATTTATCTTTGATTTATTATTGATTAAATTGCGGAAAAGCAGTTTCATTATCTATATAAAAAAACACACAGCACAGCATGAATCTAAATTTAAATGATTTATGGTGAAGCATTCTTCTGCCATATAATCAACAGTGTGCACTGAAATAAACTCTAATCAGTCACGTACTAGTTAGTTTGAAATATAGTTCTTGAAGTATGCTTGATATTAACAATCCTGTGAGACCAAACGGATGTAATATAAGCCAAAAATAGATGAAACATTTTTGGGTTAAGGATATATTAAGACATCTATATATTATTCTTATTTTTATTGTTTCTGTGTGATCTTCTTTCTAGCTATATTGAACAAATTATATTTTTCTTAGTTTTTATTCATTCCTATTACATTCTATACAAATAGAACTATTTATTGTTTTCGAAATCAACACTCAAATTCGAAAATTTTTATATATCACTACCTGAAAATTCAGAATCTTAGATCTCAATATTTATATTGATTAGCTATAGCGCATAGGATTGTATGTAAGAATAAGACAGTATACATTAGTTGAAGGCGTACTAACTAGGTCTCTATCAGAGGAGATCAAATATTTGAATATCGACTATGTTCATTTACATTGTATAATATGTGTGTTTATCTGGCAACTATAATGCCTTTTTTTTCTAACTATCTCCTATCGTAAATCT